TACCATAATATATAACTCATAAATCCCAAAATATAATAAAAGATGCCAATATATTGAAAAAAACAAAAGGTCTATATGCCAACACTTTTTGAGTCAGCTTTCTGCAAACCAATCGCCCTCTGTCTTTGCGCTTGCAGTTGGGAAGTGGTCAAGCATGGTTGTCCCATCCATCTTAGGCTCGGTGGATTGAATGGAAGTTGACTTGGTTGTGATACTGTTGCACCATTAGCAACAAGTGCAATTCTTCTCTCTTGACTATGTGGAATATAGCTCTTTCTCATTTCCTTCTCATTTGGAATTGGAAAACGTGTCTCGGGATCAGCAAAATGTTCCATGTACTCTTGAGTAGTCCCCTCTTCAATTACAATCTCAAATTGCATCCCAGGCTAGACAAAACAAAAATGAAGAAGGTAAATAAATTACAATATATCTCAGGAGAGAAAAGAGATATGTATATATTACACCATATAAATTGATTTGGATTCTATTTGATGAAACCAGAAATGGAACTTCCAGATCAAGAACTACCAAGGTTTTAGAAAACAAAGAATAAATGAAAAGTACGCTCCAATTCATTTGCCACACTAAAACCCATAATCTACTGTATAGACATGTGATTTTAACTTACATTAAGCACTACCCGTCCAGTTTCTAAGTCAAATCTAACACCCATACCACATTCAGCTGCTCTCTTCTTGTAGGAACTCGTCACTGGGAGTTTTGATCTAAATGTAACTTCTTCACTTTGATCTTGTTGTGTGACTTGACTCTGTTGGGTGGTATTGACACTAACTTTCTTAGGTCGTCCTCTTTTCTTTCCTATTGTGTTTGAGCTTGTTGATGAAGGACGCTACATAAAAGATTTTTTGCATTAGAATAATAGAGATTTAACTACACATTATCTCATTGCTGCAATATAGGAAAAACAGAATAATATAGAGCAAATTATCACCTCACTGCAAGTTGATTTGTTGTGTCTTTTTTTCTTACAGACGCTACATCTACAAGTTGAAGTTGACTTACTCAACTTATCAGGTGTTGGACTTGACATTGTAGATTGGTATTGAGATGAGTTTTGCTGAGCGATGCCTTGATAGTAGTTTGATATGTGACCACTAGGTTCAATTTTCTCATGGTAAAATGCACAAATTGCGTGTTGGCAAGGAATTCCCATCAACTCCCATGCCCTACAAGTACATACTTTCCTACTTAGAAACACACTATGTTTATCTAACCCCTCTTTAACTTCATACCCATCATCCCCATTAAAAACTACTCTACACCCCACTGCTAATTGTCTATTTGCTTCAAATAATTCAATACACTTTGGACTAAAATCACTCTTCCATTTATGCACAATCTTATAACTCTAAACACATTTAATCATTAATTTCTCTCTTATCCCTTCAAACATACGAATAACAGGAAGATACCTATATTCATATATCCATGCATTCAAGCTCTCACTACAATTATTATCTACAATCCATGATTGACACCTATTGCTAAAATAGGCTCTCACCCAGCGTTGTGGATCATAAGACAAAACTGACTCTGCTGCTGCTCTACTCAACCCTCCTAATTGTTTTAAGTTGTCCTTAAATTGTCCTTCAAATGTGCTCCAAGCACAAGAGAAGAATTTTTTTTGCAGCTCTTGTCCCCTCCACCGTTTGTTCCAATTTGCGTAAATATGTCTAGCACACAACCTGTGCTCAGACTCTAGTAGAACCTCTTCAACAGCCAAATGTAACCCCTATAAAAGAAAGACCAAATTAGAACTATAAATATTAAAGAATAGAAGTTTATAAAGTAAGTAATACCACCTTTTGCATATCTGACATTAACGTCACTTTTGATCCATCCTCAAGATTTAATGATTGTTTAAGCCATTGCAAAAACCATTTCCAGTTTACTTTATTCTCTTGTTGAGTCAATCCGAAAGCAAGTGGATATAGAGAGTCATTTGTATCAATTCCTATTGCAGTGAGAAGAATACCTCTTGCTTTACCTTTCAAAAATGTACCATCTAGCCCAATATATGGCCTATAGCCAGCTTTCCAACCAACCTATAAACCATACAAAAATTAACAACCAATTACAATCTTATATACATGTATGTAATCTTAAAAGAAAAAAGGACATCAAACATACCTTACAAGCATTAAAGCATATATACATTCTACTAAACACTCTCCTACCATTTTCTAATGCCTCTTTGCTCACCTCAACACTGACATCTGAACCCGGGTTTGAAGTTCTCAACTCATTACAATAAGCTTCTAAATTTCCAAACTCATCTTTATAGCTTCCTTCCATTTCCTCCATTATCAACTTTTTTGCTCTCTTGCATTTAATTATGCTTACGTGCAGCTTAAACCCTGCTTCTACATCTTTCTTCATATCACTCACTTTATATTGTGGTCTCTCTTGAATCTTGTTTTTAAAACGCGTAGCTAACCACTTTGCACTCGCTCTTGGGTTTTTGTAAATTCGAAGGCATCTGTGCTCATGACATAGAGTCTTAACTTTCAATCCGAGGTTGTCCCCCTCTTTTGAAGCATAAAAAACAAAAGGACAGCCCTTTTGACAGATAGCTCTAATTTTTGATGGCTCACTCTTTGAAATCCTCACTTTAACCCCTTCTATTATTGCATATTGGCTAATGGCCCTCTTAATTTCTTCAACGTTGGCAAATGTCATGCCCAACATGAAGAAGGGCCGTTTTTCTGATCCATGATTATCACCCAGCCTCCTTACTTCCTCATCACATTCAAAGCCTTCACTTAGTGACTCTTCCTCATCACATTCAAATTCCCCACTTCTTAACTCTCGCTCCTCATCTTGACATTCTTCATTTATCGACCCTCCTTCACCACTGCAAGGGGAAAATATGGCATCTGTTGCAACAAAAAGAAGGGAAATATACTCTTTAAAAAGACAAGACAAAAAAAAAAGACAAGTTCTGATAATATATTCTTTTTCTTTTTGTACAATTGCAACTTCCAAATTAAAGCTTATTGATAACTGATAAGTAGTGCTTTTTATTTCTTTACCTTTCTTCAATTCATGATACCCAAAAATATTTTAATGAGACATATATTTAAAATCAAAATTAGCAACTACCAAGTAAACAAGTAAAATTCTGACATTTACTTAACACACACGTATGTGAAAAAAAAATTCCAAAATCCAAAAGCAACCATCAGGTGTTGGGCTAAAAATAAAAGGCAATGAACATTACAAGTCCCTTGAAATCATAATAAAAAATCTACTAACTGATTTCCTTCTCCCCTTTCTCTAGGTATAAAGGGTTAAAATATAAGTCAAAAGTCAAGCTATCATAATGTAATTATCGTGATGCTTGAATTATTATGAGATTATATAACTTTAACTCAAGATCAAAACAACTCATTGAATTCTGGCATAAGACGATATGGCTCTTTCTACAAATTGAATTAATTGAATGGATTTTATCAATTTATGAAGCCCACTATCATTCTCAATTGAAAGGAAACCATTTACCTATTCTCGGGATTAATACACAAACCAAAATAAACAAAGTCTACTATCATTCTCAATATTGATTTAATCAACTTTTACCTTGATGCAGCTTCTTCATCCCCCCCTCAACATTATAGCGATTATGAACGTTCAGATCATCTTCATCGACTAACTCATAAAGCGGCACATCATCTTCTTCAACCAACACATCAAATGTCGCATCATCTTTGTCCCATTCCACATCATCTCCTAGATTCCCATCTCCTTCCATTTTTTGAATAAAAAACCCCCTTTTAGTAAACCCTATTTGTTTTTTTTTATGGCTTCAATGGGACCATAGAAGGAAAACAAAACCAATACAAATTCATTCTTACCTTTTAATCGATCTTTCCTTTTTGCTCCAAGACGAATTTCCTCACTTGATTTTGATGCTTCTCTACTTTTCGGCCGCTATTTACATGATGCTTCTCCACTCTTCTTTTTGCGTTGAAATGCTGAAGGGTTTTTTTCTGATTGAAAAACCTAAGCTTATGTGGAAATTTCATTATTATTAGGTGCCATTGAATATGCTTATGTGGAAATTTTCCAAAAAAAAAAGCCATGTGTCAAGGTTTTTAAACGGTGTTTGAAGCAAAGTTAGTCCTAATTAAAATTGCTCCAAATTTAAAAAATAAGAGGTAAAATTACACCCTTTAAAAGATTAGGGTGTTGAGTGCACCTATAAAATAAGTTTAGGGTGTTAAGTGCTACTTTATCCAAATTTTAATTCTCAAATTCATAATTAATGTTGACCGGTCATCAAATGGACAATAAAGAACAAGATTTTTTTTTCCGGTGACACAATAAAGAACAAGATTAAGTAATCAAAATTTAACATTAAGCATCCTCACTTCAGTGAAAACAAATCTCAATCCATTGACAAGTTTATAGTTCCTCTGGGCTGTAGAAGCAACTAGCTGCACATGACTTTGAACAGAACCATCACAGTAACAATTAAATCTGAATTCAAAATCATAATTAAAATCAAAAGGAACGGAGAAAAGAACTGAAACAGTGAACTGGAAAATGAAAGAGGTGCTCTGAATGCATTGGCAATGAATCCGGCTTTCTTCTTCCTCAATCGCGTTACAGCTCTCCTCGCCAGTGTTCTCCAATCTTCCCCAGTTAGTCAGCGTCTCCGCCTGCCGGGAGTATCCTCCAAAAACGACACAGCAGCTCGCGTTCTCCTCTGGTCTATCTCCTTACTCAGATTGGCATCTCCTCCTCTATCCCCACTGATTCAGAACCAGCGTCGTCCTCTCCGAAGAACCAGTCGGCGTTTCTCCTCAGGTCCAGCGAAGACGAAGATCACCCATTCACCCCTAACAGTGCGGCCTCCTCTGTTCCTGCTCTCCAGACGACGATGAACAGTCCCTTAGGTATCCAAAATGGTCTCCCAAAAACGCTGCGTCCTACTCCTACCTCTTTCAGAAACGCTGTCGTTCCTCTTTTTTTCAAAGTCAACTTCCAAGTTCCAATTTTCCCTTCTCCAAACGGTGCGCCTCTGCCCGTTCCAAGTTCAAAACTTCATTCTCCTCAGCTAATAGAAAACTGACGCCACCTGTGCAAAAGGTCAAGAAAAGGAATTGATAAAAATAAAAGGAAGAAATAACAAAATGAAATACCAATAACTTTTATATTTTTCTTTTGTTTCAGAACTACTTTTTATTATTTATTTATATCTTAAACTAAACTATTTCTATTTTGATTTAAAGCTATGATATTCACACTAAAATCTCCCAAATAATGCTCAAAATCAAATCTTTCAATTAACTCTTAGAAATCTCTTAAAATGTATTGATAACTCTCTAAAAATCACTTAAAATATTTTTTAAATATATTAAAAATAGAGAGTTATCACTATGGGATACATTTTAGTTTTTGCAATAGTTAGTTTAAGTTTGTGGTTCTCGCAAAATGTAATCCCTTTTTTTTTTTGTGTGTGTGTGTTCGGCCCTCCAATTTCTATGCTGATCCATGAGCAGTCCAGAGGCCTTTTTATGATGTAATCCTTGTGTTGATGTTTTTAATAAAGTGCCTTTTTATGTCCAAAAAAAAATGATATTTACAAGCCACAGATACTAAGCTTGTGGGCATTCCTCGGCTATTTTGTTCCATTATATCTTCGTTCTACTCAATGGGTTCGTTCAGACTATGAGTAACTTTGTAGGCTTGGCCCAGAAAAAGAAAGAAAAAACTTCGACGTAAGGGTAACACAAATTTGATTGGGTAGAGTTTTCTTGACGCATTCAACCTATCTTTTAGGCCCTAATCTTAAGTTGGCTGGGTTGGTGGAACCAATTCAAAGTTCTTTTTTTCTTTTTCTTTTCTCTTTTTTTTTTCCAAATGACAAAAGAGGTCAAAGTTCTTAATATTTAAATTTCATACAAATTTATGTAAAATTGTAAATTACTGGGTAAACCTGACTTTCCATACCAATACTTCAAAACATGGCTTTCATGTCAGTTTCTGAAACAATAATTTTAGTCAAAGAAATTATATACGGTTCGGTTTTTTAACCTCTCCCCCCCGGTGGTTTGTTCAACCTGATGATATGCTTAAGCTAAACCAGCTTAACTAACTCCTCACGTTTGTAAGTACTTATGAGCACATTTCATATAAGTTGAAACAAAACGCCTTTTATATACTTACCTTATATTTTGTAAATTATAATTGAAAAGCTGTTTGTAAATCGTTTCAAACGGGTCTAAAAGATGTTATTTCCTAGAGGAGCTATGAGATCAGCATGGAAGATCCATGAGAAAATTACGCCGCTAATTACTGCTAATGTGATTGAATTGAAGCGATTAGTGATAACTGTGGGCATGGTTTGGAGCAGCCAAGACTAGTAAGTGTGCGCGTTGGGTTTAATTAAAGTAGCATTTTCATATGTACAAGATTTTATCTAAAAAGTGTCCTTTTTAAAATTTTACATGTTGACAAAATATTTTTAAATATTGTCGTGTTAAATTTAATTTTCAAGAAGGAAAACCCATCAGCAACCCTTATTATAGTTTACGGCTCCCACCCCTCCCCTCCAATTAAAAAAAAACCAAAAAAGAAATCAATATGTGCGTTATTCAAAGTCAAAAGGAGGAAAACAAGAATCCCTCAGGATCTCACACAGTGGCAGAGGGATCCAAAAAGCTTTTGGAAAGTCATAACTTTTCTCAGATGGGTTTAGATGTTTGGTTGATATTAAAGAAGTTGTTGCCCTCCACGCGTTAAACTGTTTATATGGAAGTTAGTTCATGATGCTTTGCCAGTTAAAACAATTCTTAGGAAACATCATTTAGATGTGGATATGATTCTTAACCAAAAAATAAAAAGGAGGAAAACTAGAGAAAAAAACCCGAATATATATAAATATATATATATATATATATCACCTGTACCGATGTTCTCCCTTGCTTTTTTTGGCGCAACAAGTATCTAGCCCTGATGTGACGTAGCATTGAGTCTTGAGTTGACTCCAGTTGACTGATTCGATATTTCCCTTTTTGTTATTATTATTATAGCATGATGGAAGAAAAATAGTAAGAATCTGAGCGCTGAATTTTTCCAATAGAAAACAGATACTGATCGATGTCGAATTGATAAAGAGTACTCATTCATGAAGGTCTTCGTTGAAAATACATACACACACATAGTCATGGAAGACTCAAAATCAAACCTTCATCACTGCATGTTGTCTTATTTTATGAAGAGAAAGGAGTCCCATTCTCTTCTCTCACCCTTTAATTACCCCAAATAGTAATAGATGGCAGATCTAAGCAAACTGTGGGCTTTGAGAAGCTAACTTTGGCAGCATTCATGAGGCCCAGAGCGGCAATGCCAAAAACCCCACAAGCCTTAAGACCCATGGCTAATATCTCGGTGATCTTTTCACTAGTTCTACTATCATTTGGCTCAGCACTCATGGGGAAGACATTATTTCCCTGTCCTTCCTCCGGCACAAAGACCTGATCAGCCTGTGATCTGGTCTCTTTTTTGGTCTTGGTAAGCTTGGGAAGAAAGTGAAGAGCAGAAACCTTCTCTTCAAGATGCTCAGGAAAATCATAAACCTTATTCTCGTACTTGCCAGTTCCTCTCCTGCCCCACAACTCAAGCACAGCAAACACGAGGCTTGCAAAAGACCAAGAAGACATCAAATCAGCTGGGCAGCCTGTGTTTTTCAATACAGTGACACTTGACTTAGTCTCAGGACAGACCCATTTGTCGATTTGAGGATTGACGATGGTACGCTGCATACTAGAAAAGCATTGCTGAACTCCAGCATAGTCCAATATTGGATCCATGTGGTAAATAATGGCCTTGTTCTTCATCCTCTTTACGTGTTTAACCACATCCATTTTGTCCTTGTTCATATTGGTCACGAATATGTCTGCCTCAGAAGCAACAACATCGTAAGGGGTCTTCATAACATGAAAACCTCTTAGGTCAGCTTGAAGGGCATGGTTGGGATCAACCGCGTACACAGACACGTCAGCGCCAGCCTGCTTCAGTGCGATAGCACATCCCTCGCTAGCATCATCGTATCCACAGACAATAGCTTTTTTCCCATGAATCGGCATGTTGGTGGCTCTCTTTATCCCATCAAACAGAGCGTAGCAGCAACCGTACAAGTTACTGTTGACCTGCTAACACAAACATGCAACATCACCAAACAAGCGCAACTTGCAAAACAACCGAATTCAAGTAATTAAATATGAAGATTTACTCGGGTGGGAAGAATAATTGGAAGGAAAGAAAATGGAGAGAAGACTATCTAAAGCTAACAAAACTATATCTTGCTGAGTCATAGTTAATTACCTTGCTCTCGGTTACATTAATGGCAGGGAACAAGAGAGTTCCATTAGCTTGCAGCTGGAAAAGCCTCTTAGCACCATCGTTGGTCGCTACACAGACACCCACGAGTCCGTCCTTCATATTATGGTACCTCTTGGGATCAGTGTTCAACCCATCCCTGATCATACTGAGAACAAGCTTGAGATCAGCATCATCAGTAGAAGACGGGTCTGGCAACTGACCAGTAGCTGCAAAAACCTTTTCAGCCTTCACACCCTCATGGATGAAGTGGGTAACCTCACCACCACCGTCAAGGATAAGATCGGGACCACCGGCAGGACCCCAGTGATCAAGCCCGCGCTTGATACGCTTCCAGTGCTCCTCACGAGTCTCCCCCTTCCAACCGAAGCAGAAGGTGGCGGGGTAAAAGTAAGGAGAATAGGTGTTTTGGGAGGGCTTGTGCACTTCAGCTCCGAGAGAACCTAGGGTTTTAATGACGACTTTGGATGAACCCATGGCGATGATTCTGGCGCTTCTGAGTGCGGGAGCTTCGGCGCTGTAGTGCTCCTTCATGAGTGCACAAACATCGTCGATCAAAGTCATGGCCGAAGAAGCAGAAGAATTCTCCGTGTGGAACAGAGAAAAGGGCATTGAGTAGCTCGCTGCAGCTTGAGAAGAAGATGGAGAGAGAATTAGGTGAGAAGTAGCAGGAGCAGTTAGTTATTTATAGATCGAAAGCTGAATCATAAACGGCCTCCCCCAGTCTCCTGCTTCGAGGAATGAGTTTTTCTTTTTCCTTTTCTTTTCTTTTTGCCACCTCAGGAATGAGTTTTTTTTTTTTAAAAAAAAAAACTCTTTCGCCACCTCAGGAATCAATAATGAGCTTTCTTCTCATGCCGGGAGATTTGCGTGTCAACTAACTAGCAAGTTTACCAGCGGAACTGTTTTGGGTGCACTTCTTTCCCATTACCACCGTCCAGCTATTTCCAAACGGTTAACTAGGATTATTTCTGTCAACTTGTATTGTTTGCAATTAAGTCCAAATTGTGAAATTTAAATGAAATTTTTATGATAAGATTATTATATTTTAATATGAATGGCGGTTCTTTTGTCGACACAATATACCATAATTCGAGGAAGAATAAGGCAGTAAGCCATATGTGCTCGAATTGTTTCTTTTTGTTTTTTAGTCTCTCTCTTTAATTAGAATGGTAGTTATGACTCACTAACTACCACGGTAATCAATCAAACTTTCTTTGGTTTGAAACAACAATATCATTTCATCACAATCGCCATGCATAGTCAAGAAACATTAAGATCCTATAAATATAATTGTTTAGTGCTAACAATTCTTGCTTGTTTTTATATCTTTTTGGTTTGAAATAAAAAAAATAAAAGAGAATTATTTATTTGGGTTTATACAGACGTTAAAATCATATAAATAGAGTAGTACAAGTCATGCATGGATTATTTATTGATGCTACGTGTGGAATTAGGATTATTTCTGTCAATTTACATTGTTCTCAGTTAAGTCTAAATTGTGAAATTTAAATGAAATTTTTATGATAAGATTATTATATTTCAATATGAAGGCAATATCTTGTTGACAAAGAATGTCAGTATGTCACAATCACTACTACAAAAAAGCTAACTGTAATACTTATTTTTTTCATTCTTGTAGTATTGACAAAATGCTACATTTAAATATGCTATGGGAGCTCCTTGAATTAAAGAAGCGCTACAAAAGTGTATCTCGTTTAAAAAAAGATAAAATAGTATTCTGTAGCACTTTTTTAATAAAATGCTACAGAATATATAATTGTTTGAAAAAAAAATTTCTATATAATTTGCAAAACCACATTTACATGCAGAACCCTTACATAGAAATTTCTCAACTGCTAGCAAAATTCAGAGATCAAATACATGCAATAAAATTCTCAGAACAACATAGCTAATTAATTAATAAACTTATATTACTACTATGTATATTGATAACAGTTGTAAACAAGATAAATCTAGTTTTAATTCTACAATATAATAAATACATCCAACATTGATGGTTACACTTACTAGTGTTATAGTCTTGTTCAGTATCCAACTAAAGCCAAAACATAGAAGAGAAGCTATAGAACAAACCCATTTATATAAAGAATTGTTGGAACACATATCTACACCACTCTTCAATGACTTTATTTACTTGGTAGTCAGTGTACTTTGCACAACGTGCATCTTCATAATATTGGGCCACACATTTGAATCTCTTTGACCAAGTGTACAGTTAGATAAAGCATAATGTCAAAAAATGAAGGTGAAAAATAGATTTCAAATTCACACAAAGTACAAATAATTTGCCTTTGCAAGTCTCACAACTTTGTTGAGTCAAGTACCTTACTACTAATTAACTTGAAGAACATGCAAAGTTTAGTGATTGTGTTTTGCACTTTTTTAGGTAAAATAGATCGTATAGGTGGTAAGAAATTCTGCATGAGCATATAACAATCATGAGACTTAAGGTTCTTTAACTTTAACTCTTTTACTGATATAAGGTTCTTTACATTTGAGAAGTAGCCTTTTGGAACTTTAATTCCTTATAGAAACTCACAAAATGCCTTTTTTTTTCCTTTCCTTGAAAGAGTATAAGCTGCAGGAGATAAATAAGTACGGTATCCTTTCTCAGTGCTAAATCTTCTCTTATTCTCAAGGTAACCAAACCTAACCTCGCATGGACACTATCCTTACTTTTTCCTTGCATATTGAGTAATGTGCTAATTAAACTATCAAAAATATTTTTTCTATATGCATCACATCAAGGAAATGTCTCACATGCAAAAACTTTCAATATGGAAGTTCAAAGCAAATTGACATTTTCTTACAACCAGTTGTGGGAACAAGTTTTGCAAAATACTTGCCAAAATTGTTATCCAAGTCTTTCACCTTCTCAAAAACCTACTCACCAGTCAACATCTTTGGTGGACTACCTTTTTCTGAGTACCCATTGAAAGCCTTTTTCCACTTCCTCCAACAATATCTTGAAGGTAAGAATCTACAATATCCCATATAGACATTTTTCTTACAATAATCTAATCGCATTGAATGAGTGTTATCTGTACATATAGGGCATGCATAATATCCTTTGATACTGTATCCGGATAGATTACCATAAGCTGAAAAATTATTAATTGTGCCAAACAGTATAGCTCTTAAATTAAAACTTTCCTCCCTAGACCCATCATACACATTCATGCCAATCTCCCAAATTAGCTTTAAGTCATCAATTAAAGGAGCCAAGTATACATCTATATCATTTTCAGGCTACCTGGGCCCAGAAATTAACATGGACAGCATCATAAACTTACATTTCATGATTAAGCGTGGCAGGAGGTTATATATCATCAATATCACTAGCCATGTGCTATGAGTACTACTTTGAACACTATGCGGATTAATTCCATCAGTTGCCAATGTAAGTCGTAGGTTCCTTTCTTCTACCCCAAAGTTAGGATATTGATCGTCCTATCGTGTAAGCTCTCAAATTAATTAACTAAATTAACCTTATATAGTATAAAGGTCAACCTAGGTCATCTCTCTTTATGATGAGCTTTATTAAAATTTTGAAAACCTTTTTAAGAGAAGGAAGTAGTAGGAAAGAAAATCGATTGATTTTTCAAAAAAATAAATTAAGAAAGATAAAAAGAAAATAACAACAATTAAAAGAAAGCAAAAGGAACGAAGACTTTACCAGAATGATACACTTTTGAAGGACGTTGATGAGTGGCTATCACGATTCAAAAGATGAGGAGTTTGTATAAAAACAATTACTAAGTCAAAAGGAAAAACCCTAGATAACATCTAAGTCGTGATTAATTAATTAATAATTATACCTAGAGAATGAACTATTAATCATCTTTCAATTAACCATTTAAAAACCACTTAACTTGTGAATTCAATTAAACAATCATATCATGTTTCTTGAGGAGAGTTATTTATCAAAAACCCTAAAGAATGAACTATTTGTGCAAATCAAAATAGAAATCTATAAAGATAAACACTCATAGAATCATGAGGAAACCAAAAATATATTCATTAAAAGCTTCAAAATATAATTATTCAACTGAAACACAAATCGAATATTAGTCTGCAAAAGAGATCAAAATCCTAACCTAGGAAATTCATAAAAGCAACGTACTCGTGGATTGAAATATGAAAACTAACAGACTCCCTAATATAAATAGAAACTCAAGCCACGTTATTTTGTCCTCAGGAACAAAGAAGACTAGCCATACATATGGCTAGATGACACCATAAATATAAAAAGAAAATAATGAAAGGAAGATAGTGAAACAACTGGACACAAGAAGAAGCCAAGAGTATGCTTGTACTTGTGCAGTGTAAATGGCTTCGTTACTTCTCTAAAGCTCTCTTGTTCTCCTTTTATAGCTCTTGAATCTGTCCTAGTTAGATGAGAAAATCCTTTAGTCTTCTAGCTTGATCTTTTATCTTCTTTTATCTCATAATCTTGATAGAACTTTAAATTTGAATTCTCTTAATTTGTTGTGATTTTCATGGAAACCAAAGTAAAAGAACTTTTGAATTTAATTGATATTGGATAAAACCTGAAATCAAAGCAAAGATACCTTTCAAAAGGAAAATTATAAAAATGTAATTAAAAAACACACTTTTAAGCAATTAATTTATATAATTTTCTTAATTCAAAATGAGTATCTTTTGCATTTTAAACCCTTTAAACATTATAAAATCCCTTAATTATATATAAAAATATATTATAAAATAGGAATATATCATATACTTATAATCTATTTTTCCATTGTGGAGAATCTATAGGGTGCCTAAGCGTTGTGTCTTCAATCCTCTCATTTGCATGCCATGTCAACTGCTTAGCAATTTTCACATTACTGTACATGCGCCTAAATCTTGGAATAATGAGAAAATACCAAAGGAAGTTCAAAGGATTTTTTTTCCTTTCCTCCCATATCGTAATGCACTGCATGTAGGGCACTTCTCTAACAATGCATACTGATTTCGAAATAAAATGCAGTTGTTAGGACATGCGTGTATCTTCTCATAACCCATGCCAATAGAGAAAATAATTTGCTTAGCCTCGTATATTTTGGTAGGAAGTTTATTTTTCTCTAGGAGCATGTCTTGCAAAAGTGTAAGCAATACAGTAAAACTCAAATCACTCCATCCATGCGCGCTTTCAAGTTATACAATTGTATCACCGCTCGCAATCTTGTATATTTTGTGCATCCAGCACACAATGGTTTTTCTGCATCATGTTTCAACCTCTCAAATAAATTAGGATAATCATGAAGATCTTCTTCAACTGCATTTAGCATTTCTTCAAGACCATTGTCTTTATCACATATGCTTGTACCAAACTCATTTGAAGCACTACTTGCGCTATGAACTTGATCACTACATGTATCATAAGTCTCACCATGCCTTGTCCATCGTGTATAAGATTGATCAATTCCATGACACACCAAATGATCTAGCAAATCAGGTGGATTAATTCGCTTTCCATAACAACAAGCTAAGCAAGGACAAACAATTTTTTCAGGATCTTTTGCATGCCTCATTGCAAAACTAATAAACTCTTTTATCCTGTTTATATATTCCATTGAACACCG